ATTACAAGGATTTTAAATGCCGTGCCTTTGGAAGCCAGATCTGAAGTCGATCACAAGAGATGATTATTCGTTCGCTTCACATTTCTTTCAAAAGTTAATTGTAATACGAGTCTGTCGAGGTAACGAAAATGCTAAATTATTTTCAGATATAAAAGTGGAAAACAATTTCCTTTTAGAAAAAAACTTAATAACTGAGAAATATCGTTTCTTTAAAAGCTTCTTTAATTAAATAAATGTGTTAAGTGTTAATTAGATAATATGATATAAAGAAAATTTGAATATAGGCTAACAACACACGTAGTTCATAGTTTTGCTTCCTCGGCATCCTTAACATTTAGATAAGCAAAATAGTCTGTGAATATTTTATAGTGTTTTGCGTTGCTTGCTGACGATTTAAATGAAATAGAATTAGAATATCATTTAGAGACAGATAGCGACATGATAGTAGTTAGAAAAAAAGAAGAATTGCAATTATTGAATCTGATTTGAGACGAAGATACACCATCTGTAGACGGCGATGTGCGGAGTAATATTACGGGAAGTGACATTCCTTTGGAAAAATTCAATTTTTTCTTTTATAATGTAAGTTAGAATATGTTTTGTTTATAAAAATAGCTAAGAAATAAAATTTTTTTTTATTAAAACGACTCTTTTTTTCTTCTGCATCATAGGTTTGTAAACTTGAAACTAATATACTGCTGGAGTTGTTGGTGGCCTCTATGCATTACTAAGCTGGAGTGAAAAGGGTTAAAAAGAGATTGAACTTTACAAACTTTACTAGACTTTGAATTCAGTACACAAATGTAAGGTACATAATATTGACCAATATCTTAATGTAATGATTTTGAAGTTTTATTAATCACTTAAAATTACTTGCAATTAGTGTTAATTAAAATTACGTGCACAGATTTAAAATGTCTATATACACAAATAATTCAAATTATTTTGTAATACTGTATATTTAATAATTAAATTATTTCGTTTATTGTTACTCAGAAACTCACTAGCAATTTAAAATTTTACATTATTTATAGATGTAAACTATAGGCTCACCAAAATTTTTGTATTGATTGCTTTGTAAATGTTCTCATAAATAATTAAATAACATAATATATGTATGTATGTTCGATTAATATTATTGCAATATGCAATAATATTAATCGAATAAATAAATATTATATATTGCAATAAAAATAGAGTTAGATGTATTTGAAAATTGGATATACTCCAGGCACCTATTATTCCATATCTGTATCTATAACTCAATATATAAAGACTGTGAACCGAAAAAATTAATAAATAAATTTAAAATTCATATAGTTTTAATATTTTGATACAAAATATCGTAAAAATTCAAAATTTCTTTTTAATTAATTAGAGTGCCCTGTTAAATTAAAATTTGCCTTTAAAATGCCACATGAACATTTCTTAAACATTTTCTTTAAAAATCATTTCATCTTAAAATTTATGAGAAACATGAAAGTAAATATTTAAAAAAAATTATTTGCAATAAATTATTGTAAAAGTACAATGTAATTTAAAAAATTAAATAATAGCATTATTATTATTAAGGAGGAAAAAATGTTCCTTTTAATTTTCCTTAAAGAATTTTTACAATTTGACCTTGAATTTAACACCAAAATAAAAAAAATGCTATAAATATCTTTGCACACATAAAGACTAACAAACATACATTGTGTGTTTACTTTTTAAAAATTCATTACAAAAATAAAATAAAGATAAAAAAAAATTTCTAAAATCATTAAAATTGTCCTAATAAAAATACTTGAGAGCAAATATTATAGCTGCATACCGATACAAAAAAAAAAACGACAAAACATGTGAAATAAAAAAAAGTCCTTAAATACTTCCGTAAATCAGTAAATAAGAATTTAAAAATTCCTCCATATTTAAACTTAGTGCTAAAAAACAACAAATAAAATTTAAAAAAGAAAATATCGATTTAAATTACCAAAAAAAAAAAAATAATAATAACAAAAACAAAAAAATAGAAGTGGAAAAAGTTTTTCTTCAATTTTTTTTTTATTTATTTGTTTTGTTTAACGGGGTGTGGATGGAGCGAGGGTGGATACGGTTAACATTTTAATATAGATTTCTTTTTTTTTATAAAATGGTGCACTTTAAATGGTTTTATTCTTTAAAAAGAGACTTAAAAATTTACAACAATTTTCTTCATTTCCTTTGTGTTCAAAAACAAAATTTTTAAAAACACAGCCATTTAATTTGACTTGGGTCAATCTCTTAAATAAATACACTTGAGCATACATACATATATAAAAGAATACATAATTGAAATCTAAGAGGTGCTTCTTATTACAAAAATACCATACACCACCTTAATTTCTGAAGAACATTGTGTGTATTAGAAGCATTTTTCCAAAAAAAAATTTGACATCCTTTTTGATCAAAATAATAAAATAATAAATTTTTGCATTTTAAAGATATGCACTTAATACATATACATGTACAGAAACACGCATATACGCAGAGCAATTGCTTTTATTGTCATTTACAATTACAATTTATTGAACGCAACAAACATTACTTACACATTCAAAAGTAGTAGGCGTAAACAAAATAATTTTTACTGATGAAGAAAAATGTATACGAAAATTTTATGCAGCATTTAGATTTTTTTAACTCGGCGATCATAATTATTCTTCTTGCGTTTTAATACTTAAATATAAAAAGAAGAAAAAGGAAAAAGAGAAATACACACCCTTTTTTTAATTTTGACAAACAAATACATAGGCATAATTTTGTTGTTTTCTCTTGTTTTCACTTCTTTGTGTCAAAAAAAACCTGCTTTTTTTTTATTTTTAAAACGGCAACACCCCAAATGAATATTTTCTCAATTATTTGGCACATGTGTACAATATAAATGTTGCAAACGTGCATACAAGTGTTGGTGTTGAACATTTTTTTTAATGAGTAGTGGTGTAAGCATATAGAGAAATAAAATATTGAAGCATAAACTATAATAATTATTATAAAATGCTGTGAAATATGAAAGTTTGTGTGTTTAATAACAGTAAACGTCCTTTTATTACGATAAGAAAAAGAGAAACAAAAACTGCATTTTATTCAAATTGTTTATACAAACTATATTGCTATTGCACTCTCATTCATTTGACTAAAACAAAAATTTCAAGTGGAAAAAAGAAAAGTATAATACGAAAATATGTGTAATTCTATCTCTTTCTTATTTTTATGTATATGCAGTGTGCACATAATATTATAAAATATGAAAGAGCAATAATAAATTTAAAAAAAAATTATTTTATTAATTTTCTATAATTTTTTTGAGTTTATTTTTGATAAACATAGATAAATGTATGTAATATAAGAGTATCAATATTGTATGTATGTGTGTGTGCGTAAATTCATGTTATGAGATGCGATTTATCAAAGCATTAACGTTAATATTAACAATACTTTTGTTTTATATAAGATAAATAGTCGTGTTCAGTCTTTCAATAAAATAATATTAAAATATAATACCAATATTTAGTTATAAATTATATTATATGTAGTTATTAGGGTATGCTACACACATATACAATTAGACTTTCAATAAGAATGATTATAATAAATTTACTTTTATACATGGTATCCAGTTATTCTTATATATGCATATAATACAAATAAATATACGTATAAAAACAAACTTGTGTGATGACATTTTGTTAGAGAGAGTAAGATAAATAAACAAAATAATATAACAGAATTTAATATATCAAGTGGTATTTTAAAGAAAAGAAAAGAGAGTTTATTGTCTAGTTGATTTTAGTTTGACAGTCGTTTATTGGAAGTTATTCGGTGCGCGTTCATATGAAACAATTTTTTTTTTGTTTTAAAAGTATAGAAAAATAAGTAGAGGAAAAAAAAACAAAAACTCTTATTTTTTTTTTGTATTTTCAATATAAAAAAATTCTTTGAATATAAGTGAATTTAACAGTTATTATTATTATTTTCGTTATTCTACTTATTTTTTCTTTCTCTGTTATTTTTTACAGTTTATTATATTGTTATATTACTCTGTTAATAACCGTATACATATGTATGTATGTATATACGTACTTAAATAATATTAAATGTATTTGCATATGGTTATGATAAGTGAAAATATTTAGTGTGGAATAAAAAGTTTTATAAAGTAAAATAAAAAAAAAAAAAACAAAATAAAAAAAAAGAATTAAATAAAAAAAATTTCAAATTAATAAACTTACATATTTATTTATGCGAAAAAGATAAATATTACATAAAGATAGAAAAAAGATGAAATAAAATATTAAAAAGTTTAAATATTTTACCGCAAATATTTTGGAAATAATTTCAAAGAATAAAAAGAAACAAATAAAAATAATTCAAGAAAAAGAATTCAATGAATAAAGTTATTATTATGAAAATTAAGAAATAAAAGATCAAAAGGAAGTTATAATGGTAGATTTATATGGTAGTTAAACATATACATACAATTAATATTAATTTTTTATAACTCTATGTAATCATATTTACCACCTCTTCCAACCTGGATAACAATTATAAAATGAAAATTTTATTATTTTGGTTTTGTTAATTTCATTACAAGCATCTTTTATAAATCAAGGACATCTATATTTAATTTTTTGTACTAAAATGGAAAAAAAGGTCACAACAAAAATATTTTAAGGTGGCAATTTTATAATTATTTCAAACAGTATAAAATTTTAATTAAACAGTAATTATTGAAAATTATTTAAGAAAAAAAAAAACTCAACAGTGACAAAAAATTTTTTAAAACACATTGAAAATTTTTATATTTTATATTTAGTGATAATTTTGAATAATATAAAATAAAAAAATAAAAAATAATCTTAATTATTGAATGTAAGTTCTAAGTATCTAAAAAAAAATTTTTCAAAAATTTCGCCGGCGGCAAATGCAATCGATTAATATATTTATGCTTGTGTTTAATTGGGAGAAAGAAAATTGTAAAAATATTTAATGATTGATTTGACTACATTAACCAGTTTCTGTCAAAAATATTTATTGGATTAACGAGCCAATTCAAATTTATTAAGTATTTTACATACCATATGAGAATAATTTAATGTAAGACAAGAGAATCTCAAATTTCATTTCATGACAATTATGGAAAAATTATCACATATTAAATTCTAAGAATTCAAGGAGAAGGATTAAATAACATTTAAAATTGTGCTAGAATTATTTATAATTAACTTATCTAGGCTACATTCATTCATATAAATTGGATTTCCCACGGTAATGAAGTATGATTACGTTTTTCCAGCTTCATATAAAAGAGTTTTCCAAAATAAATTTGTAAAATCGTTAAAAAATAATTAGGAAAAATTAAATATTTTAAAATAGTATAGATAATACCGAAAATTGTGGTAACCTACTTCCTCTACACTACACGAATCTCAAATACTCGTATATTTAACAAATTTTTTTATGAAAGTGTGGGGTGCATCTATTTCCATCCGCTTAATACTTTTAAAATAAATAGAACGTTTAATGTTCGTTAATGGCATTTTTACCTGAAACCGGCTACCGGTAACGTTATGGTATATAAAGATCATCTACAATTCAATTATTTAATGGTAATTTATCTATTGGTACTTTTGAATCATTGTTTAATCATCCATTATAAACTTAGCACGTATATATTTAGTTTAGTGTTATAGTAAATATTATTTTGGAATATAAGTTGGAATATAAGTTAGTTGGCATAACATTCAGGATTTTTTTTTTCAATAATATTGAACCAAACCGTTTATTTTATTTTATTTAAGTTGAAAAGAATGCCTTTTGTGTTTGATGTGTAGTCAAATATAACAGCCAAGTTTAAATCCATAAAATTTATATGTATACATATATATATATTGCTAAATAAATTTGAAATATGTATGGATACAATTTGCCCAATATATATATATATATATATATATAAATAATTTGCTCAGATATTGTTCGGATGTCCCCCGTACACGCTATACTAACGTAGCTTGCATATAATTTGTTTATTAACAAACCTTATTGGCCATTTATATTGGTTCTCCATGTCACTACGTCGAACATAATTGTTGTGTATAAATAACATAGTGAGCGTTTTGGGGGTATCAGAAAAAATCTTCTCAACATTGTTGTTTAGATACTGGATGTTGCAGAGTTCTCTCTGCCTCTAGAGTTTTCATACTGCCTACATTATTTGATCCAATTAAAACTATTTTCAATGATGCCGAACAACAAGGAATCTCAAAAAAAAAGTTGGTTTACTTAACTGACTACCCTTGCAGTTCATAATGCTTTATAGAAATGCTCCGCTTTGATGCGCTTAAAGAAAAAAATAAAGGATTTATTTGCTTGTAAATCGTAACAGATGTTTAAAATAATCTGTTAAATAAGAAACGGTTGTAAAGTATTTCGGGAAAGATTTTATGTTTTGGCAAAATATTTAAGAGTTGCTCATTTGTTTATTCCTATATAAATTTTTGAAAGCTGTTATTACACACATATTGCACAATTCATTGAACTTCAAATTTGGTTGATTTTAAAAATTGTACTAATCTTTTAAAAGTTTTATTACTTAGCATCTTAATTTTGTGATTGTGTCGCCAGATGAGAAACGGAGTATACCTTTGTAGTACAACCACCTAAAAGAAATATAGAGTGAAAACAACATAGAGAAACAAAGTTCATCCAATAATGGAAACGTGTCCGACAACAATATGGATATCGATTCTTGTGTGTATGTTTTTGAAAACTCCTTTTCCACTTTTTGTTGCTCATTTTCCCTGATATATAAAAAAACGATCGAGGAAAACATCTCATTACCGTTGTGATATTCCGAATTGTTATTTATTTTTCTGTTACTGCGGATTCTTAGTTTCAAATGGTTGAGATTGCCGAGAAGTTAATTTCTATTCTTCTTTTTTCTTGTACTATAGCAAAAATTTGCATATTTCTAGGCCAATACTAGCAAATTTTAAAATATTTAAGAATTTTTTATGACAAAATTTTAGATGCCTAGTGAAAATTGGAAAAATTTTTTTTATGCAGGTACTTATTACGCAAAGAATATCCTTCCACCGTTTTAATTATTGTTTTAAACCAATAATGATACATTCTGAAAAATTGGTGATTACTTTAACTATTAAAAATTAAATTAATGTTGCGCTAAGATACATATGCAGATTTCACTGTCAACATTTTATGCTGACAGTAAAATTTTCTTCAGTAATATTTTTAATATTTTCCATTTTGGGGAACTCATCATTATTCTCTCATCCTCACAACTCATACAGGTTCGTAGTCCTCGCCAAAAAATAATTTCAAAATCTGATTCGAATTTATAAGAATTGTCTCAATCCTTGTCTAGATATTCCAATATTTGTTTTCAATAAAAAGTTATTGAAGATATTGACGGAAAATTTCACAAGATTACTGAATTCCACTTTTTAATTATAATGGCTCAATAATGTGCTTGAGAGTTCTACTAAACAAAATTAACTTCACATCTTTGAAGGTGGATTATTTTTACGTGTATGATTAATTTATCTCTTTAAATGGCTTAAATGATTAAGACTTTAGTTTGAAATCTTAAGAACCGAAATTTTTGCAAATTTTTAAGCTATTTTAAACAGGATAACAAGTAACAATACCGTCAATTTCCTTAATTTGAAGAATTTAAAGCAAAGAGTTATAATTGAAAAATACTCAAAATTTTCATATTTGCTTAATCTTAAGCACCTGTAGAATTTACGCTTTCAAAAAAAGAAAAATATGCTTTCTACCATTTTATTAGCCATTAAATACTCAACCATTTTAAACTTTTAAATGCGAAAAATTATTCAGGGAAATTATAAATTCTGTTGGAGTTATCATTCGTATAGCCTTTTTGAGTATTTTATTTACTAAATATTTGTATATGGTCTATTTCCACACATCTATACGTATGTAATTTTATATTTGAATTGAGAATAATTATTTGATATGCTGCGAATTGAGTTGCGAGTTCATTAACAATTTTTTTTTTATACAAAAACTATTTTGCATGCAATGTAAGAATATTAAAGTCACATAATAAAATTTGGGCGAAAAAAAATGTATACAGTATATACTTTTAGTTTCCATTCATTTTTCCAATTAAAAATTTTAATTGATAATTTCTTTTTCTGAAATTTGCATTGAAATTGCATTTAATTGCATTTTTTTTAAATATCTTGTTAAAATTATGCTTAAGGGGTAAAAAATATTCATGATTTCACTTTAAATTAAGCTTAAAAATTCAAAGATTTAATAATTAAAGAAAATTTTTGCATTAAATACAAATTACCCATATGAAATGTTAATGGTTAAAAAAAAGCATTGTTTAATTCTATACCATTTTTTTCTAATTATTTACTTTTATGTATGTATGTACATAATTGTTTTTCCTGGCAACCAGATGGATGAATGGCATTTTCTATAAAAGTTTCTTTAACATTATTTTTCAACTCGGTAAAATTATAATTGTTTTTCACTATAGTCAGTCAGTCTTATTATTCGTTTCTACCGATAATTATGATTTTCTTGGAATTGAGTTAATAATTTTATATATATATATATATATATATATGTAGGTAAGAATATGTAAATTTAAAATACATTTTTAAATGCATTATTAAATAAATTGCAGTTGCAAGAAAAAGTGTAAATAGGTAGGTAAGGTATACTATTGAGAATCAAAGAAAAAAATTTAAAACCTTTTGCTATTTCTAAAGAATGAATTACAATTGCTACTTCACATTATTTGTAAAACAAAAAGAGGAACAAAGCTGAATTCGAAGAATTGTAATTATAATTGTTGGAATACATACAAATTTGTTGCATATGTATTTGTGTATGTGCAATTATATAAAATATTTTATTACAATTTAATATGAAAAAGATTCACAGCAAAATCTATAAAGTTTGACAAGTATATTAAGTGAAATGATGTGTACTCCTGCATACGTATATATATATAAATGTGAATGGCTAATTTTTGACAGACCAACGGAATTTTTTATATAACAAACAAAGGCGTCAACGCATACTGTACTCCCTACAAAATTTAAATGCGTTATGGGTTGCGTTAATTGTGTTGCCTTTCAATTTTTCATAGAGTCTTTTATTGACAGAAAACCTTGTTAAAAATTGTGAACATTTTATAGTAAAGGAGGCGAAAATAAAATTTGCAAAATTCATTATAAACAGATTGGGGATCTTAGTCCAGACTTCAGAAAGTCCAGACTCTGCCAACACAACACAACTATTACTTTTATTTTAACTTCTCTAATGTACCTATGTAAATATGTATAATACAGTTTTTTTTATAATTTCAAAAATTATAAAAAAAAATTTATAAGTATGTATTTTATTCTTAGTATGAGAATAACTAATTACTCTGTCCTATAGTAATTAACTTTAATTATGTATGTGTGTGTGTTTGCATGAATATATGTATATTCACGTTTAGATGAGAAACCAATTTATTTTTGTGTTTTTTTCTTTCCAATTGAAAATTAAAAAATAAAAATGAAAAAAAACAAACAAAATATTAAAAAATTGAGTGTTGTACAGATTGGCTCCTCAGATCAGTAGACTGTCATTGAACCATTTGAAAAGTTGATTTGAATAAAAATATCATTCAAACACACACATATAATTACCAATTATACTTGCAAATGACTAAAAAAAATTATTTTGAAATTAAAAAAAAAAAAATATAAGAACTGAAATTTTAAATTGCGTGGAAATTTATAAGACATGAAACATAACAAATGAGTAAACTAGCGGAATAAAGAGTACTTAAATCTTAAAATTGCAATGTAAAAATTTAAGAAAAACAAAAAATTTTTTTCTTATTCTTTTGATTAACAATCACTTGCCATAATATTGAACGCAAATGAGTATGACGTTTTGAAATTTTTGATTTTTTGCTGAATTTTTAAGTAGATCCTTCAATTGGCATCTAAGTAATTACAGTTCCGAAATAGAGTCGTAAGCTACAGAATTTTTTAAATTTTAGGTATATAAATATAAATATAATAAAATTCGCAAATGATTATAGCGAAGTTAATTGTAATACATATAAAGAAATATATGTTGTAATTGTATATATATACACTTAAGCTTGTATTAGAATGTAAAATTTACAAAAGGAATGCTAAGCGAATTATGCTATCGCTTTGGGAAAATTTCCATTTCTACTTACATTCCTTTATAGGTTACTGTTCTAAGGGGCAGTGTTCCTTATATGAAAATTCCCCTTCACTAATTTTATTATTTTTTTTTTCTATACTAAAGTTTTTTCAAATAAATTTGTATTGTGCGAATATTAATTTAAATTTGAAACTTTATTATTTTTTAAAAATGTTAGCCACATTTTTGAATTTTTTAAATTTTCCATACGATATGGGCTTTGTTTACTCTTGTGACAGATGTGTGCTCTGTATTTTAATTTGTAAAATCTGAGTTTAACACGAGCTAAGGATTAATTTAGAGCTTGATCTTTTAATATACGTATATATATATATATACTTACTGTTACTTATTACACTTACTGTTACCATGAAGCTGAATTAAAGTTCTATTTATAACTTGCGCTACCTATAAATTTTCAATTATAATATGGCAGGGTACTGTGAAAATTTACGTTGCTTCTCTTATTTATTCGAATCTTTCCATTTGGCAAAGTAAATTTCAATTGAAATAAAAATGTTTTCCTCTCTTTCTTCATTTTGATTTATTTTTACAATCTCAAATTTGTTTTTAATTTTTCAAATAATTATTTTCATTTATATTCACGAAATTTACAGCCAAGGTGAAAACGTAAAAAAAAATATTTGTAAAAAAATAATTCACAATTAATCAAAAAAAAAAAACAAATAAAAAAAAAATAAAAAAAATTCAAAAATTTAAAATTAAAAATTAAAAAAAATTGACAGTTTTCAAAAAAAAAAAAGTTTGAAAGGAAAATAAATTTTAAATTTTTACAATAGTGTTAAAATATTAAGGATTTAATTAACGTGGTTTTGAAACAATAAAATGCTGCAACACTAATTGTCACAACAATAATAAAAATATTAAAATAAAAAGTGCATTTGGTTTGTCGAGTAACAAAATTAATTAAAAATTAATTTTAATTTAAAAATATTCAAGTAAAAGAAATAATTATAAAAAAAAAAATAAATACAAAAAAAATAAAAATCTGTGATTAACATTTGTGTGTGCAATGTGCATAAATTTTATTTGAGGACAAAGTGTGTAATTGTGATTTGAATTTGAAATAAAATAAAAAATAAAACTGTGTATGTTTTAATACCGAAATGGCAGTATCCTGCCCGGAAGTTATGTACGGTGCTTATTATCCATATTTATACGGCAGAGCCGGACCTAGTAGATCATTTTATCAATATGAAAGGGTAAGTTAAGAAAATTAAAATACATTTTGACAAAAAATTATTGTAGTAAACTATTGAAATAATTTTATGCAAAATTCTACCATTCTGCAATATGGAACTCTTCAGGTTGTTGCAGTTTAAATTAAATATTTTGTGCATGTATTTTATAACACAATCTGTTAAGTGTGTTAATTGGGAAACCAGAAACACAATTATTAAGTTCAATTACGATTTATAGGAGTCTGCAATTCTCTCATAGTTTCATACATTAATCAGAATTTTCGTATAATATTATGGCAATTCCCAAAAACGTATTCAAGGGGACAGCCTTCTTTTATTAATACTTATATAGAATTTTAAATAAAACTATATGAGTGAAAGTAATCTTACTAATTAATAAATAATAAAACTTTATCATGACATAAGTCGATATTTGATAAATATTAGCTATTTAATATACTTATACATTAATTTAAGTGTAATTTAAAATATTCACCGACTAATTTGAATACACTAAATTTCACATATTGAATTTTCAACTGAAATACACTTCATCTTGATGCAGCGAAAATAAATTATTTCTAGCGAGATGCAGGGCTATCTATCTGTGTGTATTTTTTTGTGCACATTTTGGGGATTAAATACTAATTTTCTTAAAATCTGAAGTAAGTGGAAAAAAGATTGTACAGCTCTTACACTGAGCTTATGTGAACATTATCACACGGGGATTTAAAGACGTTATCTAAAAAATACTTAATGTGGCCGTGCGGTCATATAAGCAGATTTTCGTTGTAATTAAAATTTTATACTTCACAGACACATACCCACATGTGCATATATGCAAATATATATTTCAATCAGTTTTTTTTTGCTGTATATGTTATTTTCAAAATTGCAATCGTTAAAACTGAACGAATCATAAAATTATTTAATTAATTTCTTTAAAATATGCTAAAAATTTGCCAAAAATTTCATGTCAGAGCTTCTGATATTTAAAAGAATTTAAGAATTTTATTTTATAAGGTATTAAAAAATTTTTTAGAAATTTAGAATATTTTTGAAAAGTCTTAAAGGTTTTTAATTTTGTACGGCTTTTTCATTAATAATTTAACAGTTGTATTCACAATTTCTTTAAGAATTTAATAGATTTTCAAAGTAGGTAAGAAGGAATTTTCATTTTTAAATAGGATGTCTATAAATTTTAAGTACTGTCCTTGAATCTTTGGATTTTGAATATTTTGTACATAATAAAAGAAATAAGACATAGATTTAACCATGTAATGACCCTTTAAACTGCATACACATAATTACTGCTGAAATAATTATTCCGTGAGCTTGAGTTTGTTTTATAACAATCTAAAAACTTTGTTTGTACTTTTATTACAAAACATACAAAAGCATTTAACCGTAACGTCAAACCAAATTAAAAAGTAAAACTTCCAATGTAAATTTTTTATTTTCTGTTCAATTTAGAAAATCTCTTAAATATGTTGTTAGATTTGAAGTCCTTAAAATGCGGTTCTGAATGAAGCAATTATTCAAATTTTTAATTAAAATGTTAAACTTTTTATTTTTGCGATTGTGATTAACAGATCGCAATTTTACGCCAAAAAAAATAAGAAAGTCGTTTCGGCTTTCTTTTCATTTGTAAAAATATTTTCCTAAATTAACGTGTGTGATGAAACAAATTTTTTGTTAGTTAATTTTCTTTTATTTAATAATATTAAAAATTTTCTATGTACGTAATTTTTTATGTAAATTTGCGAAAAAATTCTATTTGATACTGAAGATAAATTTGTTCTTTTTTTTTTAAGGTTGTAGCTGGCGAGTGTTGAAAGAGTTCTAAAATTAAATTAAATAAAATCATTTACAAAATTCAAAATATTTATTGTAATTCGTAATAAATAATTAAAAAATGTAAATTAAGTTTTAAAACTGTAGCATAGCATTAAAATGACAAATTGCTTCTTAAATTTAGAAAATTTACGCCTAAAAGTAAACTATTTAACAGAAATGTTGTTGCCATTTACTTATAATTTTTAAATTCAATTCAAAAATTATTTTTATGATTTTACGAATTGAAATAAGGTCCAGAAAAGCTTTGTGTTAAGGAGTTGAAATATTTTCGAATAAAAAATTTGATGAATTTGGATACTTGTAACTTTGTTTTCTTAGTTCATAAATAAGAATTTTTTTTTACATTTAACTCTTACATATAAATATATTTGAATTTTACATAAGTATATATATAAATTTTACAGGAGCACCTATCTAGAAGGACTTAATTAACATAAATATCTAAAAATTTAAGGAATATGGCAGAATAACTTTTAAAGAACTCCCCATATTTTTTGAAATTTCTTATTATTTTCAAGAAAGTTTCTAAAATAATAATTTTGTGTTCTTTGTAGTAATAGTGTTCTTTTGCATAATTGAGTAAAAGAAGAATATGAAATGTTTTGCAAGAAAATTTTTTGTAAAGGTATTAACAATAAAATCTTTAATGATCTAATTTAAATTTTATATGTATGCCTTTAATAATATTAAAGGCACGCACACAACTTACTAAATTAAAATTTTACATATAAAAACTTAATCTCATATTTTTGTTAATTTAAATAAAATAAAAATATTTTCCTATTTCCGAAATCATTATAGCTTTTGAATTTTTACCGTTAAACTGTTTGTATCATCTAAATTCTTAAAATTATTTTTAAATTTTCACCAGCTGTTCGTACAATATTTGCATAAGATTGTTTTAAATCTTAACCACTTGGGATGTTGTCCTATAGTAAAACAAATCGAAAATTTTCAAATAAATAAATTAATTATTGAAATGCCGTTTATTGTATCGCTAGAATATATTTAGAATATAGTATAGTGAACAAGAACTTTTACTATACATACTTATTGTGTTCGATTAGCCAAAAAATTTAATTTAAAAATTCATTGCTCTTCAAAAATTTTAAGTAAGTAAATTCTTTAATTTTTTTTTGGTTTTTTTGTTTTGGTTTGATTAAAGTATAAAATAAAATTTATTCGTATGTATTTTTCTTGCTACACGTACTTATGCCCCATGCAATATATAATTATGTATAGACATATAGGTGTATTGCTAAAAGACACTAATTTTAAAAATTTGAACTATAGAAACCTTTTTAGAAAAACAACGAGAAGAATGCAATAAACAAAATATGCAAAAACAAAAACCATCTCTTCCATTTGCGTACATTTTTTGGCTTATGTATACACAAATGCACACATACAAACTTATGTAAAATTGAATCTGATTGAAATCTTCTAACACAAATTCTATTTAGAAATTGAAATTTAAAAACAGAAAAGATATTTTTGTTTGTTCTTTTTAGCATTTTTCTAAAAGAATTTTGAAAAAAAGTGCTTATTAATTTCACACTGTCCGTTCGTTCGTCCGTTCGTCTGTCACAGAAATGTCCACAAAATTTCTACCCCCTTAAAGATAGAAAGCTAAAATTTCATATATATACGTAGATCTCTACTAGAAACTACCTATGTCCTCCCCTGGTGTAGTGGGGAGGACATACTAAAAAATCTGATGTGGTCAGAACATAATCAACCGCAATGTGTATTGTCTAGTTAAGTTAAAATGTCACAGAATATTATAAAAATATCTATTAAATACTTCTTTTCAATTTTTAGGGCATTAGTAAGCTTATAGTTAACATACCCAGAAAAATATAAATTTGGCTCTTAGTAGAGTTTCGCTTTGTGCTACCCGAATTCAGTGAAATACTCGCCAGTTAGTTTCGGTAATAAACAAAACTCAAATATTAAATTTCATCAATTCGTTCCGTAGATATGGTAAAAAATGTAAACTCGACCCGCAGATCAGTTTTCGAGCTCTGATCTTCCCAAAAATTATATGTTCATTGTTTCAATACGAAGAATTTAAATATTAAATTTCAATTAAATAGGTTGATTATTTCTCCTTATATACGCAAAAATGTATATTTGGCCCGTAGTAAACGTTCAGTTGCTGACGCCTGATTTCTTCCAAAAGTTACGACATTTTGCGGACGATTGAGCAAAGCTTATATATGAAATTTCAAGTAAATCGGTTGAATATTTTCTTTAAAATGGTCAAAAATGAAAAGCAGGCCCGCTAAGAAGTGCAGTTCCCGAGACCTGATATATCCCAAAAGTTGATCAATCCGTGCCATGGTCGAAATAATCTTACATATAAAATTTCATCAAAATCGGTTCAGCCGAACTTGAGATACACGCGTGCACACACAGACCAACAGACCGACAGACCAACAAATCGACAGACCGACAGATAGACGGACCGACTGGTTGCTAAAAATAGTTTACTTACACTTCCCTACTATGGAGAAATGCAATCCCACCGAAAACTCGATATGCAAAATTTGTGGCCATCACATAACCTAACAATTGTTTACACAATGCGGTCGGTAAAAAGTAGTGGCTGGCTTCTTCTCCGCGGCATACCTATTTGAACTTTAAAAAAATAAAATGGCCGTTAAAATTTACTGTTATCTTAAATCCTTTTTCAATTTTTTCTCGTTTTATTTCAAAGTTTGGATACATTGCTCATTCTAAATATATGCAATATTTGAAATTTTTTGGTATATGAAAAAAATAAATTTTAATAATGCAGTACATAGCAAGATTATTTTTAAAAGCAGTCTTTTTATTTGTTGAAGGGAAAAGTGCTATATTACAAACTGTTGGTTTGACCCAACTTTATTATCATTCAACTTCAATGAATCAAAAATCAATTCGAACTGTTTATTGGTCATTTTCACATATAAACTTTTAAATCTAATTTTAGTTAAGGAATTTCATTATTTTTCTGCTTTTAATTTTTATTAAAAAAAAAAAATTTATTTTATTTACTGCATTTTAACTAAATGCAACTGTAATTATATTTTTAGAATGAAATTTTTTAAACTTGTACAATAAATTTCGTAAAGATTTTTTTTATGCAGAGTTTTCAATCAAAAATTATATACATATGTACA